TTTTTTTTTTCACCCTCCCTTCTTCAGACTGTGTTTTGCACTCCGAGCATTTGGGGATTAGACATCATTTTTTCTGCAAAGCAGAGAAGCCCCCACCTCCAGAGCAGACCAGGAACTAGTCTTGTGTGGGGCTTAGGCCTCCTTAAGGATGTCAGTGCAAGTTATACTTGTCTTCCCACAGGACAGCCATGGAGAAGAAGCTGATCGGCTGCCCTGTGTGTATCGAGCACAAGAAGTACAGCCGAAACGCTCTGCTGTTCAACTTGGGCTTCGTGTGCGATGCCAGAGCCAAGGCCTGTGCGTTGGAGCCCATAGTGAAGAAGCTGGCTGGCTACCTCACCACCCTTGAGGTGAGGCCTGAGTCAATGTGAGTGGAGGCTGGCTGCCTCACGGTCCAGCTCACAGTGTCACCAGTGTCCTGGTGCATGTTGCAGGTCACTGGGCGTTGCTGGGGTAGGGGCCACGTTTATGGTGAGGAGGGGATCGTGCTGGTTTTACCCATGCATCACTTGAAGTTTAAGGGATGATGGGATCCAAGATGTGCTATTCCTATAGCCGATAATCCTTTGGAGAGGAGCTGACTCGATTTTCTGCTCTCTTTAGCTGGAAAGCGGCTTCATCTCCAACGAGGAGAGTAAACAGAAGCTGGTTCCCATCATGACCATCCTGCTGGAGGAGCTGAACGCCAAAGGAAAGTGCACCTTGCCCATAGGTACGGCAGCTGTGCCAGCCCAGGAGCAAGGGCAGGAGTGGGGTGGAGTGGCACTGGGAGGCAGCTGGGTCATCCCCTGCCCGGGTCAGCTGTACCTACGCTGCTCCTGTCTGCGCTTGGAGCTGGGGGGTGTCTGAGCCAGCCTTGCCCCGGGTGGCTCAAAGGGCCAGGAAGGATGGGGTTATGGGCCGCAAACACCTTCCTCCGTGCGGCGTAGTGGTGCTCTGGGGCTGATGGCCACGAGCTCCTGAGGGAGCAGAGGTTTCTCTGGGGACTGACTGCTGTCCTTTCCCTGGCCAGATGAGTCGAACACCATCCACCTGAAGGTGATTGAGCAGCGCCCAGACCCCCCCATTGTGCAGGAGTACGATGTCCCCGTCTTCACCCAAGACAAGGACGACTTCTTCAACTCCCAGTGGGATCTCACCACACAGCAGGTCTGTGTGCTTGACCAGGGGCAGCAGGCTTTGAACGGGATCTGTTTCCAGCCTGCTTGGGGGCAGAGGGGAGTTGGGCTGTCCTGGGGATCACCATGTTAATGAGCATGGTTTGGTGCTCCCCTTGTCTTTGTGCTCAGGCCTGCGAGCAGCCCATTCACCCAGCACAAGAATAAAATGCTGCTGGGGATGGAGCCTGCTTCCAGACGCATGAGAGCTTTTCAGGCTTCAGGGTGATGCCTTGGGCCTCTCTGCTCTCTCTGCTCTCTCCCCTCTTAGCTCTTGCTTCCTCCCCTCCTAGATCCTGCCCTACATCGACGGTTTTCGGCACGTCCAGAAGATTTCCGCAGAAGCCGACGTGGAGCTGAACTTGGTGCGCATTGCCGTGCAAAACCTGCTGTGAGTGTGTGGAAGGCGGCCTGGCCAGGCCACAGGAAGGGGGGTGGTGGGTGCTGGCAGAGAGGGTCTCATGTTTCGCTCTCCATCTGCAGGTACTACGGGGTCGTCACGCTTGTCTCCATACTTCAGGTGGGTCAGGTGACGGAGCGCAGGGCCATGAGTGGGATTTGGGCAGCAGCTGTGCCATCAGGGTGGCCATGTAGTGGGGACAGTGGGGTTCAGGGTGGATCTGTCTGTCGGAGCTGTGGCTGAGCAGAGCTGGTTTTCCCTTGCCCTCCAGTACTCCAATGTCTACTGCACCACACCGAAGGTCCAGGACCTGGTGGATGACAAATGTCTCCAGGAAGAGTGTCTGTCCTACGTCACCAAACAAGGTATGGTGACCCTGCTCTGGGCTGCTGGCAGAGGCAGGGGGAGAGGGCAGCTGACTGGTGACTTGTCCTCGCAGGGCACAAGCGAGCCAGCCTCAGGGACGTCTTCCAGCTGTACTGCGGGCTGAGCCCTGGCACCACAGTGCGAGACCTCATCTCCCGCTACACCCTGCAGCTCCAGAGGGTGGATGAGAGGTCAGAACCACCACCCTCCTGCTCAGTCCCTGGGGGCAATGGTGACACTGGGGGTGGCAGGGCAAGTGTGGGTGTGTGAGGAGTGCATCTGTAGGTGGGGAAACATGAGGCAGTCGTGTGGCATGGTGGAACCAGAAGGGAATGGGGGTAGCCGGGGTGTTTGACACCTCAGCATTGTGGTCCCAGTCTCTTCCCTCCTCATCCTCAGGAGGCTTATCCAGTTTGGTTTGATGAAGGGCCTTATCCGGCGCCTCCAGAAATACCCT